CGCTCAGAACTAGTGAACTTTAAAAGAGTCGTATTTCATCATGCCAAACTGCACCCATATTCACAAAGCCGTCAAGAACTATTGAAGTTAGATTGGGCTGTACCTCATCCACCATTTCCGTCTCTACAAAATGACTTGAATAGACACAAATTTTATGACGAAAAGATCATCAACGACACTTAGAACTGTATTTTACAAACAAAGACAGGTACTATTATGAGAGCGAAATTACGCGAAAAACGACAAAGAAAAGATTATTTATATATATTATATATAGTAGATATATGGCTAATTTTAAAATGTTTTTCATTCATAATTTGTTGTCAAGCGGACTTTTTAGCCAACTCGATACACTTCGCTACTACACACCATAGAATAAAAACCATCACCGTTATGGCAAAATTAATAAGAAAAGGCATCAAGAGCTTTAGACGTGATTAATATAAGAATATTATTAAATCAAATGCACTTTTAAAGTGATTAAAATGTATTTCCACAATTTATAAATGTTTGCTTTTTGTTTTGCAGTGGAACCGAGAAAGACCCTGAAATTGTCGAACCTGATTCAGATGAAGAAGATTCTTCATCTACTATAGTTTTAAATTTAGCCATTAAGATCTTTCTCATTATAATTACTTTGTATCAATTTGTTGAGCAATTTTAAATAAGTTTGTATTAAATTTGAAATTATTACGTAGATTTGTTTTATTGTAATAATAAAATGAATGTGCTAGACAATCACGTTTTCTGGTCTCAAACCAGTACTATGAATCGAGAACCCTTGTACTATGAGTACCAGAGCAACGGAATTCTGGGGCACTTCCCAGAACACTCAAGTCTGAACTAATTTAGAAAAGTTCATATCCCAAATTGGTCCTACCGGGAATCGAACCCGGGACCTCAGAATGCACCGCCCACAATGTAAACCATTATACATGTGTAAAGGTCCTAATGTTCAAGTGGATGCTCGATTTAATAAATAAATAAATAAGTAAAACATAAATAAGGAGGTTTCGGCCATTTACCAGGTGATATAATTTTTTATCATACCAAGTGACGGGTTGAATAAATCATGGGCCTGGTGGTAAGTGACACACCCGTTCATAACAGTTGCAGTGCCACTCAGAGCTTCAAATCGCAAAGATCTGAGGGGCACTGTCACTGAGCCCGTCACTCTGAGATATAAGTTGACAAGTCCCATGTGCCTGTAATTTCACCAGCACTTTACCCTTCAAAACCTGAACGCAGTAATGCTCACATTGCTGGTTTTCAGCAGAATTAGGTGAGATAGACAGACAAAGGGTACAAACTCCCCAAACTATAAGTCCTCTTTTTTTTGTGTCGCAGATTAAAATAGACCAGAAATCATCACGATCTACCTATTATTTAACGTATTGCTGGGTGCACGTGTCTATTCTAGATGATTTTGTATGTCATCCGATTACTCCGGCTTTTTTTGAACCATTTGTGAACCAATTTCGATGATTTTTTTTTAATTGAAAAGAAGTTACCTAAGCATTATTTTAAGCATTATTAAATATTCCACCTTTAAGGGTGGCAAACTAGGAGATGAATCCGGTTTCGCGCACTTTCCGGTAACCTATTTAAATAAAACTTGGCAAATAATATAAATCCACGAACTTTTGAGATCAGTTATTTTTGTAAAAAACTTGTAATTATGTATTTACTTTATTGCCGCATGAACGGCAAGTCGACTTAACGCGACAAGTATGGTTAAACGTGATCGCATCAAGACGAATCCGCATAAGTTTGGTGGCTCCCTGAAAATACGGAATGAAAATTACAAAAATCAGCCTCATCTACAGCCTTCGGAGTCGAAACCCTTGGCCCGTGGTGTCGCAGTGCCCTTCATTTGTACAAAATTTTGTCTAAAAAATTAATAGACTGTCTGGGAAACCCAAGGACGGGCAGCTACCTTGCCCAACGCATTGGCATAGCCATACAAAGAACGAACGCTGAAAGAAGGAACGCTGCCAGCATTTTGGGCCCCTTGCCGCGGGGACCCAATTTTATTCATATAATTCAAAAATTCTAGTTTTCCTTTTTAGTTGACTTCAAAAAAGGAGGAGGTCCCCAATTCGAGTGCATGCTTTTTTTGTATGTATGTAACGCGATAACTCTGGTATTTGTGAACCGATTTTCATGATTCTTTTTTTGTTGGAAAGAGCGTACCTCCATAGTGGTCCCATTTCATTTTGAAGAAAATCATCCACCTCTAAGGTTGGCTGTTCACGCATGAATATTCATTTTTATAAATAGCGTCTAAATGTTATTATAAGGAGCAATTATTTTAATGGTTGATTTTGCTATTCTCCAATTCAAGGTCTTTTTCTCTCTCAATATACTTTCAGCAGTGAGAACAGATTTTTATTATCTCCTGTATCAAGTCCTGTATAGTAGCGAACCAGGGGGTATTTCAATAAAACTTGGCAAATAGACGTAATTCCACGTACTTTTGAGGTCGGTTTTTTATTACTCTAGACTGAGATTATTAGTGTGTAAGCTTTTCTTGTACCTTACCTGTACATTGTCAAAAAAAAGTAATAAATTACAAAAACACATCAGTCTTAAAGAAATAAATTTTAGATTATTACTCGATTAATACAAACAGACATCCTCGTAAAATTTAATTTTGTTTCCGTTGTTATCAAATAAATGTATATCTCGGCGATGATGATTACGGAAATCCGATGGTATTATGGTGTCGTGCTTTTATTTGATAACACGTAATTGATATGTGACGCAACAAAATATATTTTTAGAATAATTTTCGCATCTGTTTCTGTACGCAACTGTTTCGTACTATTAAGGACTAAACAAATATGTAGCTTAGCAGATAATAATATTAATTGTGTACATAATGCGTATGTCCACATTGTTCATATTTTGTACATTATTATCTGATAATGTAATTATAAAAAGCAATTTACAAATTGAAATTTCAAGTTGCCATAACAGCAACACTGCACCGTGGAGCACAAACGATAAACAACATTTTGATACCACTGGTTTTTTCGAAAGTGGTTTGATATGGTTTGATGCGACAATGTCACCTGACGCCGTTTATGGAAACCGAAATATCCCCTCCGATCGTCCATTGCTGTCTTCAGCATTACACGGAATAGCACCTTAGAATATTGGAACATGGATGTAGGTAATATCCTTAAAGTAGTTTTAGAGCGCGTTTGACACAGCCTAAGAGCCTATGCACATGGCGTATTTTATACGCGCCAATGACGCGCGTTAACACGATTCAAACGTGATGCAGCTGCAGCGAGTAAACGTTCGCACACGTTCACAAATACAGTGTAAACTACACAAGCTGAACCGCTAAACCACCAGTACGAGACTGCGCACCCGATATATTGCACTAAATGCGTTCGGTCACCTTATGAAGACAGTAGATACCCCGAACTGTACTATTTGTAACACCAGAGAAGACACCTACCATGCTTTAGTGGAATGTACCTGGATCAGAGCGAAACGAAGACTAATAGAACTAGAGGCTGGAATGAGACTAACAGATGTTGGCATGTGCAATTACATATTATCTGAGCGTAATAGTACCCTGGTTAATAAAATATAAAAGTTAATACTTAAGTTACTTAAAAATAGATAGGCAAGTAGAACAAAGAATAGTCTGTATTGCATTGCTGGCATTATTTCAAGTAGCCGACCCGCCAGTTTGAAACACAAGTGGCGGCAATCTGTTAAGGGAAAAAGTAGTCCCCGTGTGGCTTCACAAAAGTGGAGAAGAAGAAGAGGAAGCCCACAGTCGTAACCAGTGTGGCACCGGCACCGACAGGACGACGCTGCTGCACCTATCGCGATTACATTACTCCACGAAATCTGAGGAGATAGTGGAGTACATCAGACATAAAGCTGGAGTCCCGCTACAACGTGAATTTCAATTCGTTTGTGGTGAGAGTACCGACCGACAATCTGTCGACTTTCATGAAGGAAGAATTTTGGCCGAAGGGTGTCATATGTTGGCGAGGGTGTCATACCTGGCAATAGATTCCGCCACATGTCGCCGATTACTTAGAAATAGTGTTTTATTATATTGTATGTATGTTAGTCCTTAAGGTATATATTATATGGGTCATGTGACCTGAAATAAATAAATTAAAAAAAAATTATCGCTAAACAGTATCGCTGTAAACGAGCGCCATCTAAGCGTTTACGCGCCGCAGACTCGCTGTAGTCGCGTGTATGTATCGCGATTTTTGATAAACGATCGATAAAAAATGATCGTACTTCCCTGGACGAACTTTTTCACCAGGAGCTCTACTGCAACTAATATGGTTGATATCTTAGAATAGTAACGCATAGAATGACAGTTTCATATTAAACGAACTGTCACAAGTGAGGCAAAAATCAAATTCATGTAGGCGTAAGCAACTTGTATCTACACTCGTTGGCACGCACACAAATATACAAATATGATGCCATAACATTTCCCTCAAAAGTGTAGTATAACTAGTATCTATTTTATGTTTGTCTGACGTATTTTTACATTTTTAGCTAAAATTCTTGAGCTGTTCGCGGTCCAAGTTGACCTTGAGCACTGAAGGCTCGCCCGCTCGTGTAGGCCCATTGGGAGCGCTTCAATTTGCCTCACTTAGCGTGTGCGGACCACGTTTCTATGCGTTATTATTCTAAGGTTGATATATGTGGCCAGTGGTTCAAATAAAAGTGTCTATGAGTGTATTATTTACGTCAGTGTCTCTTAATTTTTACTTCATTACGGTACAAGCAAGCAAACATTTGCGCATGTATCTAATTATAATAATTAAAATACTCGGATTAATATATGATGTATTGTTGCTCATTGATAATAAATAGATTAACAGAGGTATATAAATACAAAGCAGGATTACATGTGAATAAAATAATTAATTACGGTATTACCGAATTATTAACACCTTAAATTAAAAAAGATGTATATATAATCCGAATAAACATTGGAATATCTCACCACACTGGACGTAACGTAATTGCTTATTTTTTCTTTTTTAAACAAAAAACGTCGGTTTAACGACCATGGCCGTGATTACATGTTTGACGGTATTTTTATTGTTCGTGTTCAGAGTCGGATCAAGTGTTTATGAAACGGTAAGTTTCTATCAGTGCAGTTTACTTGATAATATTTCTCATCTTCCACGTTTAGGGAGACATCACACTGATGGGCAAGGAATCGCATTCAGTCGGTCAAATGGAGCTTCATACTTAAGATTGTGTTTTAATTTGATCAAGTATTACTTATTTGTCAATAATTACTTCGGATTTCGGATAGTTTTTTCTTAAGTTTTTTTTTTATGAAATAGTTATTGTTGATACAAGTGCGGAAAGTTAGTCATTATTCACGAGTCTCGAGGCTTATCAACTAAAGTTTTTTAATACATTTGCGGAATAAAGTACATTGAAATTAAAATAGAAAAGTATTTAAAAAAATTTCTTTCTTCTTTATTTCTTTATCTGATAAAAATTCAGTGTACAGTGGCAACTGTTGCCAGTATTCAGCCACAGTAAAATTACTATTTTAGTGGCACAGCGCGCAGCGGTCTCGCGTAGTACTCACCTCCGGTCATTGTTAATACTCAATCAGCCATCTTTATGGAAAATATTTTGGTATTTTTAAATGTGACCCGTTGTTTTGTAAAACACCTATGCAATTTAAACAAATAAGACGTTTGTAAGTAAATATAAGTGTTAATGACGAATGACTTACGTCACAAAGCGTAAGTCAATGCATAAAGCACATAAATATTAAATAAATATACAACCTCTTTAGTTCTATGACTTGAAACAAAGTAAATTTAAAAAAAATGGAAAAGAAAAAAGCACTAGTCCGAAAAATCCAACTTTCGGCACGATTTGTATTACGAAAAATACCACGTTTTGAGCAACTGTATTAAAAAATGTATTTTTGTAGATACCCTACGGTCATAATATATACAAGGTCTGTCCCAAAAGTATTCGACCATCGTCCATTATTTCACGCTCGGTCTGTTAATTACTATCCGGCTCGTGACATCTTTAAAAGTAATTTCCATTCGACTGAACAGTACGCTCCCACAAGTATTTCCATATCTCGCAGCAGTTATGGAGGTTAGTTTTCGGAATAGCCTTCGGTGCATTCGTCGCATTTTTTGTAAATCGTCTCTATATAGTCAAACCGACGGCCTTTGAGCGAAATGTTCGATCTTGGGAACGGCATAGAATTTTACGGTGATATTTTGAAGATTGCGTGATGCAGTGCAAAGAAAACGGCCGCATTTTTGGGAGAGTGGCGGTTGCTCAGCTTTATCATCACGACAGTGCGCCAGCGCATTCATCGAACGTTGTCCAACAGCTTTGATTGGAGCACAACAAAAGATTATTCAACTTTGCCAACCTCCGTACAGTCCCGACGTTGCCCCCTGCGATTTTTGGCTGTTCCCAAGACTGTGTCGGCACAGAGACGATAACTGCTTCGAGAAGTGAAAGCACCGGTGGAGCGTGTTGATCAGTCGAATGGAGATTACTTTGAAGAATACCACGAGCCGGATATTATTTAACAGATCCAGCGCGGAATAACGAACGAAGGTCGGATACTTTTGGGACAGACCTCGCATAGAATATACAGCGCTAAATTTGATCAAGATATTTCATTATCTCCCACTGGCCGTTTACTTGATAGGAATAACATTGTCTAGGGTCTGAATAACTTCACATAATATTATGTGTCTACATTTTGATAAACACGGGGTCACAGAAGGTTAATTCCATGTTGTAAGTGCGAAAATGACGTTGTGAGTTTCGCGTCTGCTGTCTGAGTTATTTAAATATAAGTAAGTTGTAACTTTGGAGAAGTGGCTATATTACACCTTGGGTGCGAAATTTAAAAAGTTCGACCCACTTAATTCCCAGAATCTTTAAACCTCTTTTGTTATTTTGCACATGTGGTCTAGTTACACCTGGAGTGTGAAATATATTCTATAAAATTTTTAGCACCAACACATAGAACGAGCAGGGTATGTAGCAGAAACCCATCGCGTAACAACTGAAGATGGATACATCCTAGAGATGTACAGGATTCCCTTCAGAAGGGGTGAAACGTCTGGATCTGCAGATCGGCCTGTAGTATTTTTCCTACATGGGCTATTGGCTGCTTCTATTTCTTTCATTAGACTGGGGAGAAATTATGCTATAGGTAAGTTAGTAAAATTTATTATTAGTGTACATGCGCAAATAAATCGATAACTCACACGTAATCCCATTTTTTGGTTTTTGTATTAAATATATCCTTTTTTATGTATAAGTTCCATATTTAAAAGTAAAGAAGTCGCTTAGTGTTACATTTATTTTCGAACAATATACCTATAATCTACATTTAAAAGAATATATTTGAGTTAAACACCAGAAAATGGTATTTTGACTTACAAAAACTTACGTGAGAGGTATTGAAATGCAAACTAAAAAAGACAAACAGTGCCTCTACCACGAGTTTACTCTCACAGTTGTCGCTACCGACCGCGTAAATGTCTTCACTATTTTGTATGACATATTATACAGCGCCTCTAGCGGTCAGAAGAAGAAACAACATTTTGTATACAAACATTTTACGCGGTCGCTAGCGATACCTGTCACTGTATTCTCCTGGTAGAGGCACTAGTCTGTTTTCAGTGTAATGACAATCATGTATTGATTTCCAGCTTATAACCTAGCCGACGCCGGTTTTGACGTTTGGTTGGGTAACGCACGTGGTAACAGAAATTCCAGATTCCACGTTTCCCTCGACCCCGACGCAAATGCACAGGAGTTCTTTGACTTCACATGGCACGAAATTGGGGTGTACGACATCCCAGCAATGATCGACTACATTCTAGAAGAGACTGGAAATCAGAGGTTACATTATATAGGACATTCGCAGGGAGGAACAGCTTTTTTCGTGATGGCTAGTATGAGACCTGAATATAATGAGAAGATTGCTTTAGCGCATTTATTGGCTCCTGCTGGATATAAGACACACTTTCCTCATCCTATTCTGAGGCCTTTGACTCCATTAACTAATATTGTGTGGGTAAGTAAGGATTCTGACTTTTTTGCTGTAACTATAAGCTTCATTTCAGAATTTATTTTAAATGGGTAAAGAAAAGGAATAAATCCGAAAAGTAAATTTACAATGTGTGTTTTAATAGTGATTATATTAATAGTTGCGTTATTTAGTATGTTACCGGAAACTTTTGTGCAAATAAAATACACGGAAACAAGAGAATGATATATATGATATACTGAAAGTTCCAACAAATCTTAACGACGTAATAGTACTCTACAAAATGAATTTATACTCTTAACCGTTTTCAAAAAAGGGGGAGGTTATCAATTCGACTGTATTACTTCTTTGCATGTATGTTTCGCGATATTTGTGAACCGATTTTAATGACTATTTTTTGTTGGAAAGTGGTTACCTCAGAATTGGCCCCATTTAAATTTGAAGAACATATTCCACCTCTCAGGGTGGCATACTAGGGGATGAATCCGATTTCGCGCACTTTCCGGTAACTGATTGCAATAAAACTTGGCAATTAAATGTAATTCGGTGAACAGCAACAATATACGAATTCCTAATAAATATCAAAATTTACTTGTAATCAATCATTACTATGTAATATTTACTCGAACAAAGCGTCACCGTCGCGGGCCAAACGATGGTATTGGTATTTGGATGGCATTCTCATTAAAATTGAGAGCGAAACAGTAAATCTATAAATTACGCTGATTTGTACAGTGTAGTAAAAACGTTTTCATAAAAGAATAAGTAATTTGGTTAGGTTTATTTTATTATTTGTAATTATTCGAAATTAGTTTTTTAAGAAGAATTGTAAGCTCTTAATTGTTTGTAATTCATTTTAACGTAGTTAAGTATCAAAGTTAGTTTCAATTTAATTTATTTTTCGGAACATTTATTATTTCCCATTTTAAATGAGATTTGAGTGTATTGGCCTCATGTAACTCCCATATACAAATATGATTTGTCCTCAGAAAGCGGTGTCATCATAGTGTATTAAAGACGTTTTTTTTTTTGAGTAATCTCGACAACATGGGCAATAAAATCGAATTCTGCTTGTCTTTTTTATAAAATAAATAGTCAATTAAAAGATTGTGTAATTCTGCTTACTTATTTTTTTTACTTACAGTCTCTGGCGGTGAGAATTGGCGTAATAGAAATTTTCCCTCCGAACCCTGTATTTCCTTTATATGACAATGTGAAACCTGATGAACTATGGCAATACTGTTTTGGAGACATACAATTCAAGGATTTATGCCTTATGACCGGAATTAAAGAAATCATGGTGAGCATTAGCGTTACTTCAATTTTACTACCATTTTCTCTACTATCTTGTTTCTTTTAAATATAAAATCAGAGACTACTAACTAGGACTTTTTGACACTCCTATTCTTTTTGGTCTCGGTAAATATAAAGTTTTTTTAAATATAAAATTGTAACACCTGAAAAAAAAATTGTTGTATTCTGAAATTTCAGTGATTACTGTACAAAATGTACATTAGAAAATTAATTTTTATTTTTTCGGACCTGAATTGCCTTTATTTGGTTTTTCAAACATACCGTTGTTTTTGGGTTCTTTACTGGCACAAATGTCACGGTAAAAAATAGTTTAATTATTAAATAATCATGTAAGTAATATTTTTATTTCATCCACGATTTTGCAACAATTTAAGGTGACATAATAGTAGTTTGTAGAGGCTGAAGCCTAAACTAGGATAACCTGTATTTTAGGTCACCAGGCCTGCACCTTCAGAAGATCTGATCAATATTTATAGTCTATGGAAACAATTACATAAAATAAGGAAAATTTAAGAAAAAAAGTTATATGTGTTTTTAAAATAATTCATCAGAAACTGCGAATTAGACATTTAATAGACCACAAAAAGTAGTATTGGTGGGTTAAATTATAGAAGGAAATGTAAATGGTAAAATACATTGAATACAATAATAAATAGCCCATGAATGTAATTTTCGGACGAACAGATGCCAGGATGTATTCCATTCCTTTGGCATCCGCGTTAGAAAGGAAGAAGCGAAGTAATTTATGCTAATGTAGACTTAATGTAGAGTTCCGGACTTTCCAGTCGACGTAATGAGGAACGTTGAGGGTAGAACTAAATTGAAAAAACACAAGACAGTCGCTGCCAATAAGTATCTTTGCTCTTCGCTCCACCGAGTACAAGGCTTATTACTTAAGTGTACTATTCCTTAATGTATCTATACTAGTGATGCAACAGACCTCTGTTTCTGTTTCCGTTTCTGCTTCCATAACTTATGCAACGAAACTTTAATCGGAAGAGTACAACGTTCGCGGCCGTTCCTGGGTCTATTTCCGTTCTACGTCCGACATCGGTCCAAAACAATTACAGTGAAATAAATAATACTCGACCAATTGAAAAGAGGCATGGTGCGAATGAAGCTTCATACTTGACATTGTCTTTTTGATTTGATCGTGTATATCTAATTGACAGTAATTGTTTCGGACGGGATGTTGAACAAGAACGAGAGTAGACCTATAGACGTGCGCGTGGATTGCTTGGCGGTGGAGCGCTCGTTTTTTAACAATTTTGTTTTGTATTAAGTGCAATTATGAAACCAAAAACCATCCCTCTTTTGTACTATTTCGTTTAGATATTTATAGTAAATGAAACTAGTTTTCCGGATATTATTTGAAAAAACAAAAATACCCGATTTAAATCCGGAAAAATAGTTTCATTTCCTATGTGTAACAATCGCGAAAACCTAAGAACTCGCTATTTCTATAGTATTTACACTTCCGCATCCGTTTTTGTTAATATTTACTTCTGGCATCTGTTTCCGTTTTTGTACTTTCGTTGCATCATTAATTTATACCTATTTTTGTTCTAGGAAAGCTACGATGACGACAGGCTCCCTGGATACTTCTTATTTCAAGGAGGGGCATCGTTAAAACAAATAGCTCACTATGGTCAGAATATCAAAGATGATAGTTTTCGACAATGGGACTATGGTGCTGTGGGGAACATAGCCAATTATGGGACCCGAACTCCTCCTGTATATAACATGAGCCTTATTACCTCAGATGTTGAGATACATTATACAGTGAGTGATACATTAGTGGGCGTAGGAGATGTGTATGCTATGGCAGAGGACATGCCTAATTGCAAATTAAGAAGGGTGGCAAGAGAAAACTTTGGACATGGAGATTTCGTTGAAGCAAAAGACGCGAGGGAATTGGTCACTGCGCATATTATTGAAGTCATACAGAATTATGAGTAAATATTATTTATTTTTCTTGTACAAATTGTAAAAAATTGTTTGAATGCCAACATTTAGAGCGGTTGCGCTCTACGTCCGATTCGTATCAGGGGGTCTACTCTCGATCTCTGTCCGAAACAATTACTGTCAAATAGGCAATACTTGACCAAATGAGAAGACGCGTGATGCGAATGAAGCTTCATACTGGACACTTGTCTTTTAATTTTGTCGAATATTACTCATTTGACAGTAATTGTTTCGGACGGTTGTCGGACGGACATCGAGAGTAAACCCCCAGTTCCGAATCCGAGAAATGACGGTCCGAAATGTCACAGGTGTCAGAAGTGTCAATTTACCTCTAGGTGTACAAGCGACATTCCTATTTCTCGGAACCGAATGGGACTTAGTGCACAAGGGACATCCGAAATGGGTCCGAGTTTTCTAGCTTTGTAAAGTCTCGGATTCGGAACGAATACGAATCGGGTGCGGTGCGCATACCGCTTACTATATTTTGTTTATTTTTCCAAAACGGAGTAAAATGACAGTTTATTGCGCAAAGGTGATGCCAGCTTACAAGCAGTTAGCGTTATATAATAGTTAGGTTCTAAAATCATAGAGCCGGGCACAGGCCTTCTACCACTCTTCTAGCTCGTCGTGAAAGAATTCGTTCAGGGAAGTACTGCCATCTTTCCTATTTCAGCCGCCAAACAGTAATGTCAGCTTTACTGTGTTCCGGTTTTGAAGGGTAAGGGTGCTGGTGAAATTACAGGCACATGAGACTTATCAACTTATGTCTCAGGGTGCAGTGCCTCTCTGTCAGATCACGACCAGTATTACTCCTATCAGATGTTAGCGATTTAAAGCTCTGTCTGGCACTGCGATTGTTATAGACAACTTACCATCAGGCGCACGACTTGTTCGTCCCGTCACTTGATATTATTATTTAAAAAAAAAAGATAACTTACGACACAATGTGTATGTGAAGAAGTGTTTAATGAAATTGATTTGCAGATGTGTGTAGGTTTCTTGACGATGCTTTCCTTGACCATGAAAAATTTCAAACTAAAAAAATAGAAATTCCGGAAAACTTAGATAGATAGAAAACGCACGACCCTCTTCTTCAGAGGGGGTAGGTGAAAGCAATAAGCTACCATGGCTAGTGATTACATTATGATTACTCGATAATAGCCGAACTTGGTTAATTTGCAAGTGTAGACATTCTTATTATACTAAAATATCTGAATAGTTGTACATTCCATTCAATTTCACAGTTTTAAATAAATTTATTTTAAAAAAAGCTATTTTCTATTTACGAGTACTAATCACGATTACGAATTAAGAGTGACTTGCACACCGGCCGGGTCAATGTAGAAATACTAACTTTTCTATATTGTCTAGGGTCTGGGTGTTTACGGTACCGTCGTTGCTTCGGATTTCGATAACACAAGTGCTTTAGTTGCTGTGGGATCAGAGCAACGTATGTGATGTTGTCTAATGTTTTTTTATTTATTTGCAATTACTAGAAAGCTATATTTACTTTAAATATAAGCCATAAAAGTCGACTTCTTGTTAGAGCTCAAATTCAATGTTATGGTAGTACATAACATAATCGATAACGAATAAAGTAACTATTTCAAGCATCTACTTATACATGTCAGTTTTTACAAAAAGTGACTCTTCTTTATCGCTATTCAAAAACTTAGTGGTTTAACCTAGAGATGAGCTAACAAGGTCGACACCTAAATTAACTTATAATTCACTATATATTCATTAGTTCTAGAGTACATGTTTACATTTAAATAAGTGCTACAGATATACATAAGTGCTACAAGTCAAGATAGTGTCTCTTTAAAACAGTTTTGCTTTCTTGACGTCACCCTGAATGTCATTTAGCACTGTGGCTGGTAGATCGTTCAGAATTTCTGGGAGCATGTAGTCCGGCCTGCGCATTTCATATACGTTGTTGTATCCCGCCAAAGCATATGCTGGTATGTATGAAAGCAAGTGGAATTCATTAGATCATTTCTGATCATATTTCCGTTGCCACTTGCACCTACTGCCGTTTTTACGCATAAGTTTTATTTACAATTGTATAGTATTTAATAATGCAATAATTTGTATTAGAATAAGCGCGTGCGTTTGTACTTCAGGAATGGATTTCTATACTAACGGTTCAACTGTCAAAATAAAGACGATAATGCAAATGTCAATCAATACTATTATTTCATTTAGTATCTTATTTCACAATCTATCGATATAACTTCCGACAACAACTACATGACTATTTAAAATTCGAAAACTGGCGTCTCTGCAATAAACGCCATTTTACCCCGTCAACAAAAAAGGCAATCTATACATATACCTAAACGCTTTTGAACATAATAGCACTTGTCTACTATCGTAAAGATTAAACAATTTTAGAACTTAAATACGAGTATAATTTTTCCAACAATGCGTTTTTCTTTTTTTCAGTGGAACCATCGAAGAACCTGAAATTATCGAGTCTGAATCAAATGAAGGCGATTCTTCATCTACAATAGTTTTAAGTATGGCCGTTAAGATTTACCTCATTATATTTACTTTGTATAGTTTTCTTTAGGATTGTATTTTTATTAGGCTTGTTTATTACGTAACCCAAGAATACTAATTTATCCATGAACACTATCCTATCACCATCAATTTTATTGTATGTCCCATTGCTTTTTGTTATGATGCCAAGTGGCGGGACGAACAATTTTTACGCCTGGTGGTAAGCGACACGCTATCCACAACAGTTGCAGTGCCACTCTGAGATTTCATCGCAAAGATCTTAGCACTGCCACTTCGCCAGTCGCCCTGAGACATAAGTTGACAAGTTCCATGTGCTAATTTCATCAGCAACCTTACCCTGCAAAACCGGAACGTAGTAGGAAGGTGGTAGTAAGTCCTAAGAACTATGTCACAAAGACCTCTACTGCTTCTAACATGTGCTAGCTACGGCTTTGCTCTGAGATCTAAGGACTATAATCGACCACAGTGGCGCAATCGATGTGCACCCTGCACGTTGCCCTGACAACGTCCTGACGTTTTCCCTAGAAATTAAAATCAATAGACGTATGCATCTATTGATTTTAATTTCAGACATCTCAATTGAGATCTTCCGCTAGGATATTAATCGTAACCTTGGAGTTGTACTACTTGCCTTATTATATTATGGTATAAAGCTTAAATTCTCTTAGCCGAAAGTCACGGTAGGGTGAATAAACAAATGAGACAATATGTTTAAGATTTTTTTTAAGTTTCTGTTCGTTTTCTGCTTTTAAATAGAAATCGGATTTTTAAGTTTTATTGAACGTCACGATGGTTTACTACCATGATATTAAATTTTTTTATAAATAACTTCACTAGTTTGTTATTATTATTCGATTCGATCCGACTGGATTCTAGCCAGCACCCTCAAACAATCCGTGGCAGATGCTCTGTCAATTAAGCCATGGAATGAACTATATAGACCTTACAAATTTTTCTATGGGCTTCTTGCAGGTCTTTGTCTTTGGTTTTTAACGACTTTTTTGTACCGTAGCGTCATCTGTGAAAAAGTATTCAGTTGTCAGCACTTGTTTAAGCCTGATATTTGTTAAAATGCGTATTCTTTGTCTAATAAAACCGGATGTGATCATACGATTAAACGTGTTTTTATAACATGAAAATAAATATCTAAAAACAACACGAACTACATGAAACAAATGTGTGAAATCTTATAGCTCTTTATTTAAGTACAAACAATATTGTTTGTGCTTAAATAAAGAGTCTAATTTAATATAATAAAATTTGTCATTTTGCAGATTTGACCTTGTTACACTAAAGCGTCGTAATGCTCTTTGAACAATGTCTTATAAAATATATGTATCACCATTCCAATAGCTCTACTATAATGGTGGATAGACCGCATATCAGATTCCGTGGTGGCAAAGCAAAGGGTTTGGACACGAATAAATAATGTCGTTGCGCACGCACCTAATGGACTTGTGTCAAGTGAATTAATGATGTGCCGTTTGATAAGCTATCGTGTTAAATTTTCGATTGTTTGTCCAAAGAGTTTTTGCTTCAAAATACTTTGCCGACGTTGTTGGTTATTATTAGAAAAGTAAATTACTTAAAGTTTATACAACCAATCTGTTGATTTTCTAGAGAATACTGGTCATTGTTTTTTTTATACCAAGTGTGCTGGCGCTTCTCCTTTGCATGGGTGCTCCAGAAAATTACCAATAGACAAAGATGGCGGGATATCGCGGGGCGAGTGTCAAGAGTGCTGTGAATTTTAAACACACACACACGCGCGCACGAACGCGCGCACACACACACACACACACGCACGCACGCACGCACGCACGCACGCACGCACGCACGCACTATAACGGTACCTATTTTTCAGTTTATCTCCCTCTTTCTATCGTGCTCGCAGCTGGTCGCTTATTACTTTTTCTCTCATTTCCTTGGGTTGGCTCTTTCTTTGCTGAGACCAAGTAACGGGGCGAAAGTCATGCGCCTGGTGGTAAGCAACACGCCTAACCATGACAGTTGCAGTGCTACTCAGAGATTTAAATCGCACCCACCCACTGATCTGGCAACTGTTGACAAACACCAATTGAAACTATGGCTTTGAATAGTTTTCTGATGTGTAACTTTCTGATGAGTCCTTTGGTTTCTCCAAGGTGTTTCTTTTATAATAGTAAGTGACGGGATGAACAAGTCATGCGCCTGGTGCTATGCGATGCACCTGTCCATTGCAGTTACATTTATAAAAAAGCTGAGGGGCACCGCCGCCACTGTGCCCGTTACGCTGAGACGTAAGTTGTTAAGTCCTATGTGCCTGTAATTTCACTAGCACCCTCACCCTTCAAAACCGGAACGCATAATGCTCACATTACCGCTTGGCAGCAGAAGTAAAGTGGCACTACTTCCCTGGATTAACTCTTTCACAACGACCTCAACAGCTACTAAACTAAAACTTTGCTCATCTTTTATAAGATAAATATTTCTTTTCTTTTCGTTTGGTGCAATAAAGACTCTATATTAATAATTCTAAATAAGGAAATATGATAATCAAGCTTAAATTATAAAGCGGTATTTTTAGAGAACCGTAGGTCGGTAGACTTAAAAGGCATAAATCAGTTTAAGCTAGTCGAAATCTGAACTTGAAATATAGCGTTGAGTTAAAACCACGCTTAAGTAGAGGCTTTTAAGCTGTCGTAAATCATAAACCGCTATGCGAGTGATTGATTTCCGTGTTGTAAAACGTAGCTCGATGGTTGTAACGACCCATAAAATATATTTAGGTCAGATCGCTGGGAAATACCTCTCTACTATTTTAGACGACCCCGGTAAAAAAACAATTGACGCCGTGCACGCTGGCTGAGAATTCTCTCAGCCCGTGTTCATTTAACAGAAATATTGAGCCTTTTTATACCGTAGTGTTTTTTATAGTAGCAGTAGAGCTGATTGTGAAAAAGCTCATCCAGGGCAGTACTGTCACTTTACCTATTTCAGGCGCCCGTCAATCTGAGACAAGGTCACAAGTCCCATGTGTCTGTAATTTCACCAGCACCCGTAGCGTGTTTATGCACTGCATCCTAATCATATTCGTTCCTATTCCGAGAATAGTCTTGGTATTTGTATAGACAAATCTAGAAAACTCATACCCACTTCGGATGTCGCTTTTGTACTAAATTCAATTCAAATGCGAGAAAAAACGAATATCGCTTGTACACCTAGAGATAAAATGATCCCTAAGACATTTTGCGCGCGCGCACACAAACGCGCACACACTCATAGCCCCGTACTAGGGAAACCTTGTATCGCGTATGCCGTGGACACACACATAGACAACTACAAATTACACCCAAACTCCCGAGAGAAAGAGAATACTTCTTCCGGCACGGGAATCGAACCCGGGACCTCTTGCGTGGCAGTCCAGCATGGTAACAGTTCTGCCATGAAGGCAGTTAATGGTATTACTGTGGATTTTAATAATAATTGTGGCCCAAAACTCAGCCTTGTCGACTGCGTCATTAGTAGCCGCCATTAAATCCTCAAGCATATTGTTAGGGCACGCAGGGCACGATACGAAGTGAGCCATCGAGTGAATCGAACCGCACAAACAATCCTGATCGGAATCCGAAAATCACCATTTGAACAAATTGCCCTTTCTCCGACCAACTTGAGTCCGAAATCTATTTCAGATTGGCTAAGGCAATTCGTGTCCAGGAAGACACTCGGAAGATTAAATAATATGTACAAACAATAATTTGTTATACATGTGTTTACATTAACTGCTAATTAATAAATAGTGCAACGATGAGAATGTTTGGAAAAAAAAAACTGAAATTATACTCGGTTGGATGTCATCCATCCGATTGAACCAACCAATATAGCATGACACCTGTCATCGTACTACGTGTCGGACCCACGTCCCAACGTCAGCGTTCCAAAGAACTGGAATGTTTTGGTCCCTGATATTCAGAGAGACACAATATTGTAAAAATAAAATAATACATTTTTGTTATTTATTTACGAGAAACTCTATACTTTTAAATATGTTAACAAATGCATAACATAAATAACTATTGTAACTATAGTGAAAAAATAGGGTGGTTTGCATCAATAGTAGACATAACTGGTTGAAGACTGTACCACCTCAGTCAACCGTGACCATGGGACCTGTAAAGGGCCCGAAACGTCAGTTTGTTTGAAAAACGCGAGAACGTATACGCGATTTAAATCCGGAAAAATAGTTTCATTTCCTATGTGTAACAATCGCGAAAACCTAAGAACTCAAAATATTGAAACGATAAGTTCAACTTAACTTTTAATCATTACAAATCAATATTTAGACAATAAATTCGAAAATAATATTGTTTCCACTGCGTTCGAGTAACTATTTTTGGGGTCATATTCCAGAACTCTACTCAATGTTCAAGTCAGGACTGGAGTATGATTTCAAGCACTGAAAATACGACCCTAATGGCAAGGACTTGAGTATTTATTTCTAGTGCTTTAAATCATACTCAAATCCAGACTTGAGTATTGAGTAGAGTTCTGGAATACGACCCTTAGATTGCTAATTTTGACATAAGAACAATATTACTTTAATGTTACAGTCGCGTCGTACTACGAACTGAGTGAATGAATAGGCACAAAGCTGCCAATAGAACATCACAGTTTTAACATTATAATAAGCTTATTTAGAGGTTGTGGTAGGTCCCCTTGTGTTTGTCTGTAACTTTACCTTAATTTACACATAAACAATACAAATCAGTGATACACTGTAGTGTTTGGTTTATCTGGCCAGACTAACTAGCACACTGTACTGTTTTCAGATTGTCTAATCGGACCAACTACCACAGTATAGTGTTCTAAGTATAACTCGTCTATAGAAACCAACTTAATTAATGCACACGAAAAAACTTGTTATTGGCTTGTAAAAAGATAACGTTAACATTCTATTTAGTATCAAAACTGTTGGTTTTTCGAAGAAAGTGAAAAATAAGGTAATAAAGTCCCAAATATAGAGATTAATATCAGTTACGAAATAGCCAAGACGATATTGGCTGGGTGATTATGGACCTCGAATTCAGGGTAAAGGGAGTTTTATCAAGTGGAACATAAAGCGACTTACAGCGGCCATACTGTTGATTAATAACCTTCCTTTGTGCGCAACAAAGTATATTTATACTGTACATATATTGGAAGTAACCGGTAAGTGTGCCCAGGCGATTATTCCGTAAATATAAGAGAACTTTTAAGAGGTGATATAATATCTCGAGTTTTTAGGTTTTCGCGACTGTTGTGTAACAGTGTTAAATCTAAAAAATAGTTTTTAAATAGTTAGAGATTTAGAAGACTGTACCACCCCAGTCACGGTTGACTGTTAGTTAATTAATATTAGACATAACTGGTTGAAGACTGTACCACCTCAGTCAACCGTGACCACGGGACCTGTAAAGGGCCCGAAACGTCGGTTTGTTTGAAAAAACAAATATACGTGATTTAAATCCGGAAAAATAGTTTCATTTCCTATTTGATACAACCTCAAATGGCCTTTGTATTCAATAGGTACTTTACATAGATGTTTTTGTATCTACAGAACTAAATAGTACACGCGTAGTATACAATTATAGTATACGAAAGTACGTTATCTAATGAACAAAATTACTCAA